ACTATAACCAGATTTAATGAGGTCACCCATCATGGATTCGAAGCAGCAAGTCCTCTTCTCCACTGACCACCCTGCCTACATAAAATTCCTGCTGGAGGCAAGCGGGGGCCCTACCCGGGCCGGCCACCTAAGGCTCCGTCAGCCTCAGTGACAAAGCTCTGTCAACCACCCTCGGCGTGGCTGCAGCTCCCATAGAGTAGTGCACAGCAGCAGAGTACACACAGTTCCCGGAAACCAGCCAGGCTCCTGTCCATAATGGTTAGACTTCATGTGGTTTCCTGCTCTGCCATTTCAGCGTGGTTCTGTTTCAGCCTGGGATCTTGAGGAATGTGGGTAAAGCATTCACTGAGATTCAAGCTGGCCCTGGACAGAGAAGATTGCAAGAATATTTCACAGGACTATCTCAGAAACGTATGATCATAAAACATTTTTTGTACAGCAGTGAACAGGGGCTGGAGATTGTAAAAAAGGTGACTGCAGCCATCTGATGCTGACAGCTTCAGTATAAAAGAACCAGATTACTGTTTAAATTATGATGAATGACAAACAGGAGGCCAGTGCTCTCTTGCAACCCTCTACATATTTGAAGCAGAACAGCGGCCACAGAAAATTTGTTCTGCTGCACAAAACAAAGCCTCCACCCCCACTTTGCTCTTTCACCAGCATGCTCAAGGTGATACTAAGAGCACTGTCTTCTGTTTGACTTTAAACCTCACCTGTCACAGCTGGGCCTCTGTTGTCATAAGCCAGTGCCTTTCTCTGCATGACTGGAGACCATCTACAAAGTGATTATATCAAATGATGGCACAGAGAACTTCATTGGGCTGGAGTTTGTATGCAGAACATGAGAGTGCAGCCCCCCAGACACATGAGTGCAGGTTATGCTTGTCAACCCCAGTAATTATGGCCTGCTGGACATCCCTGCACCTGGAGGGACACCAGCTCGTCCTCTGTGTGTTGTCCGCCTGTCTGTCTCTCCTCCCCTGCCTAATGGAGAGGAGAAATGCCTCGGAGGGGCAATGTCAGTCCTTAAAATGAAAAAACAATTCATGCACATGCAGGATTGTCATGGGTACTGGGATTGAGTGGGAAGTGTTAGTTTCTCACAAGGACCAAGCGATAGCAGGAAGCCAATCTCTCATGAGGCGCAGTGCAAAGTTGTGTTTTTTTCCCTCTTCGAGATGTGAATCTCCAAGTCAAAACAAATGTTTTTGATGAAACTAGATTAATTGTGGCGGTCTGAAGAATGTCAGCTTCAAATCGGAGCTTGGAATGTAAACACTGTGGGAAACTATTACACACTTCGCATCACTGCCATGCGACATTGAAAAGGCACAATCACCTTGAGAACAAGATAAGATATTATGGTGCATTAGCTGAGCAGCCGGTCGGGTTGAATAGTTTTAATAGTATAGTCCTGTCTATTGAAGCTATTGCTTCTAGATGGATTTTCTTTTAGTGTCAAACTTGTCCATGAACATATAAGATGCTGTGTCATGGGAGGACTAATCCTCCAGCCTGGATCGATGACAAACACAGAATTCAATCAGCTCACCTTCCCCTGAGGATATCTACCTCTGAAGGACATCCGGCCTATGAAGCCACATCGTTCTCAGACAGGGACCAGCTCCTGTGGTGCATGGATTGCTGGTTATCACTCATTGGAGAGATGGCTGACATTTTATGCTCACAGTGAGAAATTAATCAGTAGCAGTTCTGACGGCAACCACGCCAACTGCTCCAGAAAAACTCCTCTAGAGTTGCAGGCCCATGCCAGTTCAGCTGCCATGTTGTCTTTGGAGGAGGACGAGAGAGAGAGAGTGAGGGAGACAGACTTTCAAAGCTTTTAACTTTTACGAGTCTACAGTGTGTGGGATACAGATGTTCAGTAATGGCTGTGGTCTGGCTTTAATTGAAAGTCAGATATTTCAGCCACTGTCTCACTTTATTTACATCGCTTTGAATGTTTTTTTAATAGTTTGTGTGGGTTTAATATGAAAATCAAGTAGACAGCAAATAGAGGAGCTGTGGGGCTTTAATCGCCTGTAAAAAGCAATCACGTGTAAGTAAGAACGAGATGAGTGGGAGACAGTAGGAAAAAAAAGCAGAAAGCACGGGGAGAAGCTCGGCACAGGCACAATGGGGGTTGTTTAGTGTGCTTCCACCCATCGCTGCCTCAATCTCTGGAGGCAGAGCTGCTGCGACAGGGCGAATAGGAGCAACCAAAGCTGAAGCAATCAAACACTGTTAATCATGGAGGAAAAGCAGGTACCCTTGCTGTCCTTTTCAGTTCAGATCCAAGCTCCCCCCTTTCCCAGATCTGCCCTGTATCAGGAGCATTACTGTTTGGACTAATGGCAAAAGTAATTAAATGTCGGGTGGTCCAGCCTGGGGCAGAGAGAGAGGGAGCGGGCTGTTGTTGCAGCAGTAAGTTGTGCACAAGCTGAGATACTGGTGTCACATTTGCAGTTGTCAAACGTTGGGCTGCGAGAGAGATGAAGTCCATGACTCTGCAGTCTTTTTTCTTCTTTTTTAATAATGAAATATAAATCACGAGTGAAGTCATGCGGACACTGAATATTTGGGTCAAACTGACGCAGGACTTCAAAGTGTCACTTTGCTGGCAGGAGTCCAGTCTGCTCCGCTAATCTGGTATCACCCAACCAGACAATGTCACTGGAGGTCAGACATTCAATATAAAAGCTTAATGCCCAGACTGACAGTGAATAGATTATAATAACAACTACAATGCAGAATGTTGTACTAAAACCCAATCTAGTTTTGTGTTGGGATGTTACAAAGCATATTTACTTAGTTACTGTAGTTAAGTATATATTTAATGTATTTATACTTTACTTAAGTAGATTTAATTTACTTTTACTCCACTTAATATATAAGTATCTGTACTTTCTACTCTTTTAAAGTAATCCCCTGATCCAATCAGAGTGGGTAGGTAACATTAGACCCGCCCTTTTCAGTGACTGCAAATGGATTCAGAAGAGACCACAGCCGAGACTCAGCCATAATGAAGTACTAGACCGTTGCATTAGGGAATAGGATACACTTGGCAAGTACTTTTACTTTGAATACTTAATGCTGATTTATTTAAAAGCAAGTATTTTACTCAAGTTGAAAAGTAAATGCGTACTTATACTACATTTCTGTCTTTTTATTTGTACTGTCACTTAAGTAAAATGTTTGAGCACTTTCTCCACCACTGCTAGTTTTTCTTCTTCTACCATTCCTGACTACTTTATTGTGGCATAAATGATGCAGGAACTGGACCAGTGTCCTTCTGTGAACCGATGAATTGAGAAATAGCTGTCAGCAAGGCCTAGACCGTGTTTAAATATTAACACATTGGTGATGACCTCTGCTGCCCCGTCAACTCTGAGGTTTTCCTTCTGTCCCTGCCCAGATATACTGACAACGCTTCCCATCATCACTTGGGCTAAAACAGAAGCTTGTGGTGTGTCAAACTGGCAACACAAAACAGATGTGGTCACTGGACGAGGACTTTTTTCCTCTCTTTTTCAAAGAGTTGTAACCAGAGAAGTGAGGACATGACCCGCTGTGGCTGCTCAAGGGCTCAAAACCCCCGGATGTGACTTAATGACTATGTGTAACAATGCCATCTTGTGAGGCATTTAGTAAATGAGACAGGAAAAGGACGGGAAAGGGAGAAAAAAATAAATGAATTTGTTTTTGTAACGGCTCAGTAGCTGAGGAGACGGCCCTCTTATATATTTGTGCTTTGTAGAAAGTTGGTTATTGCTCCCAGTCCTCTACGTTTTTGTTAGTTATTTGTTTAAACGGCAGATCACCACAAAACTTGGTGGAAGTATGTAGTATGGGTCAAGAAAGAACCCATTACAATTTGTTGCAGATCCAGGATTTTTTTTTTCGTTTTCTTTAACATCTAAGATTTTTCGTTGATTTCCCAGAGAATTATGTGTGAATCATATTTCGGGAGGTTAGAATTGATGAGTGTGTGCAATTTTGTGCAGATCCCAAAAATATCAGGATCTTGTGGGTTTGAATTTGGTTTTGTAGGGGTGTAGGATTTTTTTCAGCCGCTGTATGGAAAGAAATAGAGCTGGAAACCGGTAACTACCACCAATGTGTAGCCGAGATAACTTAATGTGGCTTTTTGTTTTAATTTAAGGGGATGGTTGGGCCTTGCCGGAGGTATGCACTCTACTGAGGACAACTCTAGTTATTTTGTATATTTGCTCTTGTCTATAGAGTAAAAAAGATTTAAATTCATAACAGTGCATAGCCACACATAGTTTTTGTGAGATACTACCATATTTGAAGTGAGAATAATGTCTGTATTCTTTTAAAAGGTAAAGGAGTTCACGTTAAATGAGAATGATGGGAATGAAGAAAACAACAGGAAATGAACCAGCAGGCCCAGAGAAGTGAGGTTAGGTGGTGGGACAGTAAAACGTAGGGGTGGTGATAACAAGGCTGCAGCTGCAGGCAGGCTGTCTGATGCTGACGTTTACTGTGCACCTCCTGTGGTCTGTCATGGGAATGTATGCACAGTCATTATACTCTGATAAATGGCTTCTGGAAGCAGAACAACTTTTAACCACCAAGAGGGATTAGGTTTGATTTTAACTGTAGAATTAAGGGATTATGTTTTTAAGACTGCAAAACTTCCTCAAGCTGCAGCTTGAGTACTTAGTGCTTTTTTCAAACGGCTCCGTGAACTATTTTGGGGAAGTGATCAGCAGCTGAAGAGTGTTCTCGCTTGACTTTCTAATGAACTGAAATATGTGAACGCCCATGCTTGACTGAACTCAGGGGCCTCAGCACCCTCTTGTGAAGCAGTTCTGCAGCACAAATCATTGTAATCATCATGTTTACGGCTGCAATAATAGCATTAGATTGTGATCATGTGTTTTTATGACTGTTACCTAAGATGACATGTGATTTCTAATTCTTTGAAACTCATTACAATAACATGGTTTTTCTCATTTTCCCTCTCTCTGTAGCTGGCAGGCCTGGGGTGGGACAGAGAACATGGCTGAACCACGGCGAGAGAGCACCAGCAGCCTGCAGAGGAAGAAACCTCCCTGGCTCAGGCTGGACATTCCCACGGCTCAGATGTCACTGGACGAGCATCCCACTTTTGTCCAGGTGCTCTTCTCTCGCCGAATCACCCCTCTCATCATAATTTTTGTCCTGACTTGTTTTTTAACTTTTCCTTCTGGCCTTGTGTCCTGTTCCTTGCAGCCCACGAAGAGGCAGGGGTTCCTGCGCAGTATCAGCATGCCAGTGGAGACCTCTCACCTCCAGTCCCCGCCCCGCGACTTCTTTGACACCCGGCGGCCTGTCTTGCAACGCCAGTCATCCATCACTCAGACCATAAAGAGGTACAGGCAGCTGGCAATACACTGGATTGATTCAATATATTGGACATATTAATGTGTGTGATATAGCATGAACTCATTCAATATCCCAAGCTTTATGGTTGTGTTGACAGTGTAGCTTGCAAGTAGTGTTGCTGCTTACATCTGGTAGACAACAGTGTGTGTGTGTTGGTTTATGGAATAAAATGTTTTATATATATAAGTTTCATGAGCTGCAGTAAATGGAGAATATTGGCTGCCTGTGTCCCATTGCATAACTCTTCCGCATGTCACAGTGTTTCTGCTTTCCTTACCTTTTTACCAGTTGCATGGCTGTTTCTGATTAACAACCTCAGTACCATCTGCCTGGTTGGAACTTTCCTAATGTTTTAATCTGGATGAAAAACTGCTTTGCTCTCGGTGCTCGACAGCCCCTCTTCCAGCTGCCACTTTCCTTCTCACTGCCTTGTTGTTGTCTTTTCTCTTTTCCTCCTTCTTTCCTCTGTCCCTCGTCGCCTCCCTCTGGCCCCTGCTCTGCCTGGTCACAGCAGCAGAAGGGTGCACTTTGAGCGGATTAACACGGTGCCTATTAAGGGCCAGCGAGCTGCTCGCCGCAGCACCAGGAAACACCACTCGCTCTCCAGAACCCTGCTCAGGTACGGCAGGATGTCCCCCCCCCCCCACAAGACCGCAGGTGTTAGGGTCAGGATGAAGGTCTGGTGTTTGCTCACTTGTTTACAATGAGAGAACAAGTGAGTATATTCTCCCACATCACTAGATTCACAAGAATTGTTATCGCAGCTGTGTTTTTTTTTAAATGAGTCATAAGAAGATCTGAAACCAAGAGCTGTAATTTCCCTTTTACAAGTTCCTCTTGATTTCTCAGTCACAGTAAAGATGCAGCCTGGCAGCAGGGGGTGGGGGTGTCACTCATTTCCTTACACTTGACGTCAAACAGCATCCAACACAAATAGGTGTTTCATCGGAGCAGAACTTTTCTCAACGCCTCTTTAGTTTTTATGTTCAGCTCAAGGACTTTAAATAAGGATGGGCAACACTTCTCCAATTCAATCCAAAACCAAACCGCCAAAATATCCCAAATACGAATGCTTGTGCACCGGTACAGTAGCATCAGATAACAAAACACCAAACGTACCAGAAAAAATGATCAATGAGGTTTCTGCTGTTTTTTCCCTGTTAGAATTTTGAAAGTATTTTGATAGTTTTCCTCACTCTAGTCGAGGGTTAAGGACAGAGAATGTTGCACCTTGTCAAGTCCACATGAGGTAAATTGTGATTTGTGAATAGATTGGCTGACCTAAAATAACAGAAACTAAGAAAAATGTATCTGATTGGTGCTTTGACTTTTTAGTTTGGGCCACCTCCCATCGATTAACATGGAGGACAGCAGGATTTATGACCTATACTGGCGAGACTGAGGCACTTTGACTTCACTTTTGGGGATCAGTCATCTCAAGGATTGTCAGGGCTGTGTCCACTGGTGCTATTCTAGAATATCAGCTATTAACTTTCCACTGACTCATTCTTAAAGAACAGAGGACTGGTGAGAATTATTCACTGAAAGAACCAGTGAGCTGAGTAAGAAATAGATTCTCACCTAATACATGGAACTGTCTCTTTGCAGCTGGTGATTAGTCAGAAAAAGCAGCTTGCTTGTTTGAATATTTCTTTGAAGAATGTTTTCACTTCCACTTCCTGGCCTCAGGGTGCAGCAACGTTGTTTGCTCTGGTACTTATTAGGCCTCGACTACCAGCAACTTGATTGCATGTGTATTCATCGTGGTTTAACAGAGAGTGGAGAGGGTCACACACACAAAAAAGAAAAGCTCTGGAAAAATCCTGCATTCTCTTTGTTAATTGGATTTGGTGTCTGCTCGTGTCAGTTAAGATTAGGAACATGTGAATAAATAGGATTTTATTCGCACCATCAGAACTACTGTAATCCTCTCTTTCTCTGAGCATTAAGGCTTTGGGAGTGTGACTGTGCACCATGCATTCAGTGTGTTAGAAGTTGTGTCTACCTACATGCTGTCTGTCCTCTTTCCCAGTGTTCGGACAAACATAAAACGTGTCCAGGCATATTCCCTTTTACTGCTCTTATTACATACACTATCTACTGTATGTCATCCAGGGGAGTGCGGGCTTATCAGTCTCTTGCATGTTTGCCGATCCACTCCTCCATATACAGAGGGTTAGCAATCTCTTTTTCAAGTGTCACTGTGCCAGATAGGACTTCATCTCTGCCTGTGAGAAATGAAGCATTATGCACCGGGGTCCAAAAGTCTGAGACCACCGTTTCCCTGCTTTATCTTGAGTTTTGTGACCCAGAACTGAAAGCGCAGTGTTTGTGGCATTAGGGGAACAGCAGACTGGTTTGGAGTCAGCAAAGATGGCGATGCCACTCAGAAATGGCAGAGGAAAAGTCTACGCCACTGCAGCCTGCGCTACGGGAAGCTGAAGCCGCAGGTGATACGAGAGATGGATCTGCCCAGCCAGGACAACATTTCCTTAACCAGCACAGAGACCCCGCCTCCACTCTATGTCCCCTCCTCACAGCATGGCATGCAAAAGGTGAGGAAATGTTGTTTTTCACATCAATAAAATAATTTGAGAAATCAAATTACCATCCTGTGGTTGTCAGCCAGCGCTAACGTGCAGTTTCAGTCTACCTACGTTTTTTCCAGATTCATTAGCTCATCATGACATTTGTTCTTTGACTCCTAATATTATAGTAGAATTAAAAACTAAATCAAAATTTGAGAAAAATTCCTGAAAGGCAGACTTGGTCAAGAGGCCAACAACTATTTGGAAAGGCCCCTGTGACCTTTGACCACCCAAAATCAATCAGGTAATCCATGAGTTGAAGTGATTATTTTACCAAATTTAAAAGGATTCTCTTGAGACATTCTTAAGATGAACATTTCACGAGGCAAAAAAGGGTTTTGTGAGGTCCTAGTGACCTTGACCTTTGAGCTTGACTACCAATATCTAATCAGTTCATCCTTGAGTCCAACTGAACGTTTGTACCAAATTTGAAGAAATTCCCTCTAAGTGCTCTTAAGATATCATGTTCACAATTTTGGTAAGCATGGACAACCCGAAAACATAATTTCTCAGGTCACTGCCTGTCGCTGGCGTGTATTGATATTCTGCTCTTTCTAATTACTGTCTTCGTCCCATTTGGTCTCCAGATTGTGGACCCATTGGCACGAGGGCGAGCCTTCCGTATGGTGGAGGAGATAGACGGCTACAGCGTACCTCAAACCCCCATCACCCCCGGTGCTGCCTCCCTCTGTTCCTTCACCAGCTCCCGCTCAGGTCTCAACCGACTGCCTCGCCGGCGTAAGAGGGAGTCAGTGGCAAAGATGAGCTTCAGGGCTGCAGCAGCATTGGTCAAAGTGAGTGAGAGAGATGAAACCCCCCCCCTACCCCGATCAGATCGAATACAAATGTGTACAAAAAATAGCACATGATGAATAAACAAACTTCCTGTACTTTATAGGCCTTCATTGTTGCTGTGTTACTTTGTGAGGGAAACATTGCAGCTGTGAAGCAGATTTGTTTGTTTGTGTGGTTCTCAGGGGCGCTCGTTACGGGAGAGCACTCTGAGACGGGCCCAAAGACGAAGCTTTACCCCCGCCAGCTTCATGGAGGAAGATGTGATGGACTTTCAAGATGAGCTGGACACATCATTCTTCGCCAGAGTAATTCAAAAAACAACTATAATCTTATTCTGCTGTTTTTGCGATGAAACCCTATTTTTTTTTTTTTATTTATAAATGAATAATAATTCTAGTTTTACAAAACCACAAGAGATTGTGTTTTTTTCTGATCAGCAGTTTTCTTTTCACAGGATGTTCTGATGCAGGAGGAGTTGTCCACGTACGCAGACGAGGTGTTCGAGTCACCGTCTGAGGCGGCCGTGAAGGAGGCGGAGCCCAGCAGCAAGATGGACGAGATGGAGCTGACAGGCAGCGCCCTCGATAAGACAGAGCTGGAGAGAAGTCACCTCATGCTGTGAGTAACTGTGCAACTGTGGCCGCAGTGTCAGTTTTACAAGCTATGGTGAAACAAAAGTTTTTAAAATAATCACATCACAAAAAACTGGATTAATCCCTGCAGGGAAACTGCGTGTGAGACAGAAAATAAATAAAAAGTGTAAAACTAAAAACAACGATGGTAATAATATTAAGAAATACACATTAAGTGCATAGAAAAATGTACAAATGCATAGGTGTATCATGTGTGGTGAGTAACACTGATCCATCTTAGTTGAAACCAGTTTCAAGTAATTATTATTATTGATGTCACTGGTGATAAAGCCATGTCTTAACTCTTACAAGTACAAAGTGATAAAAATCAATTTCAAAAGTCTCAGAAAAGGCTCAACCTGATACAGAAAACCAGAGGAATGTCATATTATTTCTTCATCCTTGCGGTTATAAACCTCTCTTCATATTCGTCTCCCTCTTTCCTCCCCTCTGTTATCTCCCGCAGACCTCTGGAGCGAGGGTGGCGTAAAGCCAAAGAAGGAACTCCGGGACCACCAAAGGTGCCGTTGCGGCAGGAGGTGGTGAGTGTTAACGGACAGAGGCGAGGCCAGCGCATCGTCATACCTGTCAAGAAGCTCTTCGCCCGGGAGAAGAGGCCGTATGGGCTGGGCATGGTGGGGAAGCTCACGAACCGCACCTACCGCAAGCGTATTGACAGCTACGTCAAGAGGCAGATAGAGGACATGGATGACCATAGGTACCGCACCACATATCTGATTGCTCTTTATCTCCATTTCCCTCAGTGGACACTGATGAATGATGAGTGCTGCTGTTCTATTTTTTTAGTTTTTTTTTTTTAAAGTACATTCCTTCTTTTTCTTTAGGCCTTTTTTTACATACTGGATCACCTTTGTCCATCTGCTCATCACTATCTTGGCTGTATGCATCTACGGTATTGCACCAGTGGGCTTCTCCCAGCATGAGACGGTTGATTCTGTGAGTCAGAACGCTCTGATGAATGATTTATTCAACATATCATCAAAAAGATCTCCCCTCATTATTACATTCACATCTAATTTGAAAGATTTTTGTGTTTCGATGTCTTCTGATGTAGGTTTTAAGAAACAAAGGCGTGTATGAAAATGTCAAGTTTGTGCAGCAGGAGAACTTCTGGATTGGGCCGGGTTCGGTGAGCTCTCCTCTCTGCATAATGTTTTCAACTGATGAAAATAACAAAAGCAATAAGAATGTAGAGCACACACCGCCACCAAGGCCGAACAATACTGCACTTAATTGTCTAGTTTATATAGTAGAAATATAAAATAAATAACATAAATCAGATCTGAATCAACCCAAAATATTTGTAAAATTGCGAAAGCAAATATGTTTTTACCCTCTTGAATCCACATTATCTCAGCTACACATTACTGGTAGTTGCAGGTTTCAAGCTCTATTTATAACGTGCATTGGCTGAAAAAAACAACAACTTGGATTTGAATTTGGTAATGGTAATTTTGTTGTGTCTATCCATTGCAGGAATCTCTGATCCACTTGGGGGCCAAATATTCTCCCTGCATGCGACAGGACAAGCAGGTGCATGAACTTATCAGGGAAAAGAGAGCTATTGAACGCAACTCTGCCTGCTGTGTGCGGAACGATCGCTCTGGCTGTGTCCAAACCTCAGAGGAGGAATGCTCGGTCTGTACACAAATCTAATTCATTGCTTTGTGTTCCTTGACCTTTATAAATTCAAATACAGTTCGAAGCTGTGGGCAGTTTTTAATCTGATGACTCTGCGGTTTTATTTCTAGAGTACTCTAGCTGTGTGGGTGAAGTGGCCGAAGCATTCCAGCACCCCCCTGTTAAACGGTGAAAACAGACAGTATGGCTCGGTGTGCCATCAGGACCCCAGGTTAGACGCACCAGGAGATGTTCCATTTAGAAGTTAAAGAATAGATTAACATTGTTACGTCATGTATGCATGTTGTTTGTCTCTTTACAGGATTTGTCTGGAGCCTGCCTCGGTGTCACCTCATGAATGGCCTGATGATATCACCAAGTGGCCGGTGAGTACAGTAAACCTTTCCCGGTGTTCAGATTTGAAGAGATCCCAGGTGACATTGGGGGAGAGCCTGCTTACACCCTGGACAGGTTGCCAGCATTTCACAGAGTCAACAAACAAGCATTCACACTCACATTCACACCTATTGGTAATTTAGACTCTTAACCTGTTAACCTAACCCCAGTCTGCATGTGTCTGCATGTGTTAACTCCACACAGACACTCCTCGGCCAGATATAGTAATAGATTATCTTTGTTTAGAGATTGACTTGTTTAGAGATTAGAAATAAATAAAGATTAAAGATAGAATAGTAGAATAAAGATTAATAAATAATAAAGATTAGAAAAAAATACATTTGTTTTACATTGTTCCTGGCAAATCATCAAATATGTATTGCACACATCAATACTGAGATAACTTGTGGATAATGTGACCAGTAGTGTAGTTCAATGGTCGATAAGATTGGAAAGGTTTTCTTTCTCAGTTATACACCACTGTATTTCTGTCTAAATAAAACACACTCCCTGTGAAACCATGCTGGTTTCTTGGTCTTACATAGTTGTGCAAATAAGTCTTGGCTCCAGAGTTTTGTTTTGAATGGAAACTTAGATATATTAGGCGACATGGCGGTGCAGTGGTTACGCCTTACAGCACAAATCCCAGTTGGGCCTTTCTCTGTTTGCATGTTCTCCTTGCGTCAGCATTTTTTTTTCGTTTTCCTCCCACGGTCAAAAGCATGTGAGTGTGAATGGTTGTTTCTCTCTGTATGTCGGCCGTGCGACATGCTGGTGACGCTGGGTGAGGTCGCCAGCTGACGCATTTTGCCACTTTTAAAAGTTGTTTGAGATTAGGCATCAGTAGATATAAAGTGAATCAGCTGTTACATCAAACATCCTCATTGTGATTCAGCTTGAAATGTATCAAACTTTTAGGATTAACGCTCTGCTGTGTCTTTTAGATTTGCACCAGGTACAACACAGGGAACCACACCAACCTGCCTCATATAGACTGTACCATCACAGGCCGACCCTGCTGCATTGGAACCAAGGCGAGGTGAGAAAAACATTTACTAGTCTGAAATATGATGTGGTGACTGGTTTACAAGATTGCTAACTGCTGTTTGTATTTCTGTAAGGTGTGAAATCACATCCCGGGAATATTGCGACTTCATGAAGGGCTACTTTCATGAGGAGGCTACTCTCTGCTCTCAAGTAAGAATCCGTCTCCTTGGTGTGCACAAATGAAACTTTTTATTTTCTCGTGGGGATATAAAAAGGGGAGAAGCTGTTCAATGCAACAAGTTTTTGTGCTGCATCTGTTGCTGTTTTTAATCGAGTGTACTGTTTTGTGTGCCTCCTGAAAACTGAGTGAGAGCGAGGGCTCACCAAGCATTTCTATGTACTCCAGTTGCATGTTATTTGTGATCTTAGATTGTCACTTCAGTCGTATGAGTCGTATGACTGAGGAGCATTAATGAACATGCTCTCCTCTGTCCTTCTTCAGGTGCACTGCATGGATGATGTTTGTGGCCTGTTGCCTTTCCTCAACCCTGAGATTCCAGATCAATTTTACAGGCTGTGGCTCTCACTTTTCCTGCATGCTGGGTGAGTCGGCAGCTGTCATGATCATGAAAAGTGATTTTGCTTCATCAGATATCCATACAGCAAGATGGAATAGCATAAAAAGAAATCTTTTAAATCTGAGTGTAAAGCTTTTACTACCCAGAGTGCAAATAAAACAAAATCGACCCAGGAGTCACAATTTAGCAGCTGAGCTCTTCCTATGAATCAGTCGAAGCTACATTTTACAGAGCTGAAGGTCTGCTTAGTCTCAGTTTAACAGGCTCTGTCAGGGACATTGCACCCAGCAGCAAGGAGCAGGATGTTTAAAAGATCACATCATGTTTATGTTTGTCACACACGGAAAAGTGTGTGTGATAAAATATATTTATTTAAAGCAGCTGAGGAAACAAACCATGGACTGTATGTAAAGATGGTCTCCAAATGCCCAAGATGGCGGAGTTCATATCTGGGATGTTTCGGGTTCTTTTCTGGATAGTGGGAAGAAGTGGGAGATGTGTCGTCCATCTTTATCTACAGTCTGTTGAACAAACAATCATAGAGTGGCAAATATGTGACTTAACACATATTTAGATATTTATGTTGAAAAGAACTTATCCAATAATTCAGGTTATAGGCATAGCACTGCCCTACTGTACCGTACTTAACTAAAATAAGTACATTTTACATGTCCACCAGCCGTCCTACAAAACTTCCATATGCCTAAAATGTGCATGCTGATAAACACATTCATCACTTGCAATTACAGACTTTGAATATCAGCGTGACAGCAGCACTGTGGTGTAGTTTGTAGCTGTCAGTCGGCACAAAGAGCTGACCTCACAGCTCAGAGGAGCAGTGCTTCATCTTCCTGCTGTCTGCTATCTGTCTCCTGGGTAATTAAACAAAGTGCCTTCGCTCCATGAACTCATTAAGCCTCGACGAGATAGAGTTCGATTTTGTTGATGGGCAAAGTCGGCTTTTCAGGGGGTTTGCCTCTTCAACGCAGACAGATTATCTTCCCCCGACAAGAGCGGCTTCCCATCCACAAACAACCGCATTGCAACATCACATTGCATGCACGTGAGCACGTTTTTCCCTCGTCTGTCCTCCCCAGGATCCTTCACTGCCTGGTGTCGGTGGCTTTCCAGATGACCATCCTGAGGGACCTGGAGAAGCTGGCGGGCTGGCTGCGCATCTCAATCATTTACATCATCAGTGGCATCACCGGAAACTTAGCTTCAGCCATCTTCCTGCCCTACAGAGCAGAGGTGATCACCTGTCAGATCCCCACACAACCGGAAAATATTATGAGGCTGAGATTTCTCTCTGCCAGATCATCATCACACCACATTACGAAAATAACTTTTAAATCATATCATACATTTTCTCCGGCTCACATCTCCCTCTGCTGTCTTCTTCTCAGGTGGGTCCAGCTGGCTCTCAGTTCGGGATCTTGGCCTGCCTGTTTGTGGAGTTGTTTCAGAGCTGGCAGATCTTGGCCCAGCCCTGGAGGGCCTTCACCAAGCTCCTGTGCGTGGTGCTCTTCCTCTTTGCCTTCGGACTGTTGCCCTGGATCGACAACTTCGCCCATATCAGCGGCTTCATCTCCGGCTTCTTCCTGTCCTTCGCCTTCCTCCCGTACATCAGCTTCGGCCGCATGGACCTGTACCGCAAACGCTGCCAGATCATCGTCTTCCTGCTGGTGTTTGTCGGCCTCTTCTCAGGCCTCGTGGTGCTCTTCTACGTCTACCCCATAAAGTGTGAATGGTGCGAGTTGCTCACCTGCATCCCCTTCACGGACAAATTCTGCGAGAAGTACGACCTGAACGCTCACCTTCACTGAGGGGCGGATAGCGTGAGCTCAACAGGGAGGCAACAGGTCAAAAAAAATAGATGTCAGGCAGTATGTGTCCCCACTCTGCTCCTGTGTGGCTGTGGACTGTCAACCCCCCCCCCCCGTCTGTGAACTATGAGAATATGCTTGTGCTTTTTTACTCTGTCATTATGAATACCTATGCCACTCATCATAAGAACTTCTTTTAATCACCTCCCAGTTCACTCCTTCACTGTCAAGTGAAACAAAGGTATGGCACTTCTGAACCTCGTCTCAGCTCCCAGCTGCCCTTTACACGTCAGGCAGGAATTACAGAAACCAGCGCTGGTACAAAGAGAAGGATTTTTTTATTTTTTACAATCACACTCCAGACATAGGTTTTATTATTCAAGCAACCTCATACTGAAGCAGGGACGAAAATCAAATATTGATACCTTTGGTGCCTTGTTGATAAAATGTACCAACTACTGCCATATTTTTGTTACCTTATGCTGAGCACTCGAATGTTTATTTGTTTTATTGCTTCTCAAGAAGTGATGATTGTTTTGAACACGGTAGTGTTTTAGCTACCTGCCTACTCACATGTAACTGAAAACAACAGTAAAAACAACAACTACAAAATGAAATGTGTGTGACTTTCTCTTAATTACCAGAAACGACTTTTGAAGGTTGAAAGAGTTTATTCACATGAAGCAACATAGAATCGGAGCATTATTAGATTCTACATGATCAATATATAGATCCTCAAATTACTCTATATTACTGTAATCACACTGAATGGTTTACAAAAATAGAATAGTATTCATACCACAACTCAAGGTTTATTTTTTTTCCTATTTGTTACCTTGATTAAATTACAAACCATGAAATATGAATGATTAGATGGTAAAACAGTTTAGAGCTTACAATATGTTACTGGTTGTTACCAGTAGGAAAAGGAAAATAATTGAATGTCTGTTAAGCCCAATTATCATCTTCAAAGCCGCTGTTTCGTATCTTTTCTTGCATGAAGAAGGGAATCCACTCTCTGTCCGTTCTGGCCTAACACAGTCGTCACTCCTCGCTCAGTGGGTCAAAGCAAGCTTTGAGCTGCACATGAGGATACTGAACCCAGTCCACTGGTGTTTACTGGCCCTGCGCTTCAATCTCTCCGTCTGTCAACTGGGTTTTCTAAATCTCTTCTGCCCTGAGTCTGTTAATGTGGGTTAGTAAGTCGAAGCATTAGGTTGGTCTTTGGAATCGAGGGACTAACAGCCACTGTTCCTCCTGGTGTATGCCTGCCCACCGATCATGTACTCCATCTCATGGAAGTGCATGTTGGACACGGAGATGGCTGATGGGCCCTTCTCTTTGAAGCCGGCCTTGAGGTAGAAAGGCACCAGGAAGTCCTCGCAAATCAGCAGAGCTCGTCGGAGGCCCGGTACGCAACGCAGGTACTGCAAATAGCGCCACAAGAGGATGGAGCCCTTGCCTTGCTGGCGGCAGTGGCGGTGCACCGACAGCACATGGATGTGCACAGCGGGGGTGTCTGGAACGTGCTGAGTCATGGCCTCCTGGAGGAGAGTAATTACACAGAGGCATTAATGAACAAGTACAGTAATTTGCATGGCGTTTGGCATATTTTCTTTTAGACATGTTCTGTGAAATGACATACTTGTGAAAGCCTCTCCTTGTCCCAGCCAGAGCCAATGATGAAAGCCACCAGCTGTCCCTCTTCAAACCAGCCCAGTGAGAGCTCAGGGCACTGACTCAGGAAGTTCAGCACCTCATCCAGGGTGAGGGGACACTCTCCAGACACAGAGACGAATGCTGGGAAGGGGGGGGGGAAGAACCAGTTTATACAGTGGATCATGTCCTGGGACTTAACATAAAGAAAGGATGAAAGAAATGTATTCTCTTTCAATTTAGAACTGGAACAAAGAGCCCAAAACCAGTGTTTGAGATGCAAAATGCAGAATATTTCACTTATCATCTGTCAAATCAGTTAAATCAACTGGTAATCAATCTTATCTTATGCTTCAGGGAATCTTTGTGATTTACCTTCTCTCTCGATCTCAAACACACTGATGGCGTCCTGTGGCGTGAGGTTCCTGAACTCGCTGGCAGGGAGCGTGTGTCGTCTTTGTTGCAGAGGGCTGACCACCCTCACAGGCGACTTCAGGAAGAAGGGCTTGAGGAAGGGTGAGCGGCTGACCGGCTGTGCCATGATGTCTCAATGATTTACTCAACAGGAAGTTGCAATTCTGTTGTTCTGTCTTCTTCTTTTGTCCAGAGCTTTTTCCTATAACTCTATATTGGTGCAGTGGAGGAGAAGTGACAGCAAGAAAAACCTCCCCCGTTCTCTGCGGTTGCCACAGCTCTGACAGTGATGCAGCAGGGGAAGATGCTGACCTTTGTGTCCCTCCTGCTCTGTTGTCTTCCTCCTCTTCTGTGTCTCTGAACCCTGAATGCTGTGAGGTGGTCACTTCAAAGTAGGTTAGCTGTCGGTGCACGTGCCTCCAAAGTCTCTAAATCCGCTCTCAAATGACTTACATGCTGTTCTGAGGGGAGGGGGGGTTCCTATGTTAATAAACTAAGAGACAACTCCCGATTTGCATAAATGACAGTTTACATATTTAGACATAAGTATATGAATTAGACAATTCATATACTTATACTTACCATAACAGAATAGTTATAGCAATAAAATCTCCTACACCAAAAACTAAGAAAATAATAATAAGAAATCATAATAATAGTAATAAGAATAATAATGACTATTTATAATACACTTTAAAAAACTAATGTAAACAAATTAACACAAGAGATAATGGATACAATCAAACAATGAAATAAACAAACAAGCATCTAGTTATCTTATTTTATTTTTAATGCTAAAAAATAAAATACGATAAAGCAATTAAAATTTTTAATTAGACACACATTTAACAGGATAGTTTTAGCAATAATTTGTTTGTGTCCCATACCTCAAAACACAAAGAAATTATTATTATTATTTTAATTATTTTTTATTTTAATTTTTAATTTTTCACTGTGGTAAGAATCTTTTGTTAATGATAAGATTTTACACCAGGTCCAACAAAAAAGTCCAAAGAGACTTATCTCTCTCAGAGAAAACACCGGATATGATGATGTGGGCATGACTTGGTATTTATCAAGCACGTGTGCAGGACAGACATGTATGTTAACATGTGCACTACAGATTCAGGTGTGTCTGCATGTTTTCAGTTACCAAGGGCATGTGAGTTAAATTAACTGTATCAAGTGATGGGGGGGATTTGTGTGGATTGCTGTTGAGATGATTTCATGCCTCAAAGAGGTTTAGCACTGACTAATTAAATGAGAGAGCACTTGCCTGACTGGCCTGAGGTAAACCTATTTACACACAACTCCTGGCTCAAGGCTCGGACATGATATTATTTCTAAAGCGATCAAACCGAAATAGATTTGTTTTAAGGATTATTGTCTCATCCCACTGCCTTCTTATAGCCTCCCCTACAAGTGATGAATGGGAAATCTTTATTTTGAGCCATCCACAACATCACCCAGCCCACTGACCAATCACAGACACGACAACATCTCTGCTCATGAGATCATCAGATGTCAGAGGTGAGCACGTACACAGTTGTCCACAGATGAAATTACCTTTGTCAATCCGTGTGGACAGACGGTCTTAGAAATATTTCCTCGTGGTCTGTTAGAGCCAAGCAAATGACAAGGTCGGATTTTTAGAATCCCAGAAACATGTTTCAGCTTTTCAGACAAGCTAATCAATTAAAAAACGAGAAACAGGACTTAATTACAACATGTGAGAGCTCAAACTTTATATGCACACAGTATAAAGTCAACCCCTGACCTTCTCTCTTCTCATCTCTCATAGTGTGCGGGCGTGTGTGTGTGTGTGCTCGTGCTTGTGCGTGTGCATGTGTGTGTGTGTGTATACACAAATATTTCCCTCAGTGTATTATGTTTTTATAGGCGAGCGTGAGGCCACAGTGTAACTGAATCCTTATTAAACTTTCCACTGGTGTACACCTGTTGGTACAGCTGAGCAGAGAGCAGCAGTTAACCATTAACACAGAGGAATGTCATTATGTTTGAAATATGAAACACATTACACAGATTTTAAAGAGTGATGGAGCCTGAAAATTCATCTTAAAGTGAAGGGGCCCTCATCAGTCGCCCATTGCAATGTGTGTGTGCTTCACCTGCAAATCAACTACAGCAGTTATAGCTGTAGATTCCATTTCTATCATTAGAAAACAAAGTGAAAAACATAAAAGTAGCATATAATTGTTAAGTTACAGCTTACATATATTTTTTTCATGTTGCTGAAAATTATAAGTCACAGCAGATTGTAATTTGATATAATAGGTTTCTACTTACAAGCATTTCCAATTCAAACCAACTCGACAATTTAGATTTAGATCCACCAATGTGACCACTTTTATTATATACACAAATATTTTACATTAAAAGGAGAAGTTTTAAGATGTATTTTCATTTAGTAAGAATTCTGAAATTGAACTGCTACTAAAACACAGTGCTTGCCTTTGATAGTTATGAGGGGCATTTGTGGTTCAACACCATCACTGTGAGGACATTTTGACTTTGTGAGGACATTTTTTCTGGTCCTCACCAATTCAAAGGGTTGTTTGAGGTTAGGATTAGATGAGGGTTAGGCATTTAGCTGTTATGGTTAAGGTCAGGGTCAGGGGCTGAGGAATGTATTATGTCAATGATTGTCCTCACTAAGATAGAAGTACAAATGTGTGTGTGTGTTTGTGTGTGTGTGTGTGTGTGCTAGTATTCATCCACTTGTCTCTGAGTCAGCTCTATAGTTAATTTGTTGACAGCACAGGTTGTACTATTTTATCCTCCAGCCTTCTGGTACTTGAGGTGGTTTATTCACCAGCGTCACTGACCCCAAATAAACCAACTCAAACCCTGACAGATATTCATCTCAACACTTTAAGATATTAGCAACATACAGTATATCGAGTACGATATAAAGCTGTAGTTTAATAAAAAGCAGGGTTTTGGAGATATTTTAACATACAGGACCATTAATCAGAAATGAGAGGTCCACAGTTGCTTCAGGTAGATGAACTTAGAGTCTGACCACATGGTTTTAGTGCAGTCAATGGTTCATGTGTTTTATCCAAATAAAACACAGTTAAACCAAATTCCACAAGACAATTGTTTCCAGCTCGACCAGCAGAGGGCAGTGTTTACCCTGATTGTGGACTCAACATTTTCAGGTTTATACCTATATACAGTCTATGGTTTATACGCAGAATATAGAAAATAGTGGTCGTTTTAAAGTTGGCTCTAGTTTTCAAATTAAAAAGATGCATATTCGTAGTTCTAATATTCATCAAAAAAAGGACGAAAGTTACTTTAACACAGAACCTTTTTAAGATACCCCCCCTACACACACAGAAACACACGTCATACTTGTGTGAAACAGAGCATTTATTTAAGTACTGAGATGTAATATTTTTCTGGGGCTGGCATAGAAGGAAGATGAACACAAACAGCATCTGTAAATATCTTAAAAAGTTTGTGTTTATAAACCTTTGTGAGGCCAACCTGTGATTTTTTTTTGTTACAATCCTTGGTGTTACTTTTAAATAATTTCCTATTACTTATCTTTATGTGTTTTACATTGCGTCATATTAATCTGAGAGTATACTTTGTACCGAGCATAAATATAATTTGCAGAGAAATGACTGGGAAGCACTGGATCAGAAAACAAGTGGTAGCTAAACAGAGTCTTTGTTCTTTATTGTTATACACATGCTGCTATACACACAAGGAAAGACTGGTATTGATTTTACAGAGAGCCACAAACCACCTACTGTGGAGTTATCCTGGATACCAGGTCAATAGTGGTCAGAATGAGAACAGGAAGGCACGGTGTCAAGTTGAAATGGCACAGAAGAGAAGGGGGGGGGGGGACAAAATAAACCACTTTACTTAAAAGCCATGAGACGTTAAACACGTCAACAAATTCACATGCAAAGTCTAAACCAATTATTAAAAATGCAATGTTTGCATCTGTTGCTTTGGGTGTTTTCCTTTGAGGCGAACACAGTAAGAGAATCCACTGGAACCTAAATACTAAGATTAAATGCATAATTGATAAATGGTCATATAGTAAATAAACAGTTTGATTTAATATTGCTCAATAACAAGATACATTTTTCCAGTAACATGAAGTTTGCGATAGATAAAAACAAAAGGCTCTGTACATCAGCATCAAAACTCCTGTCTATGGGCTGGAAACAGTTTTCAGAATATGTACTGTAGCATTTTAAGAACACTAATGTCCAATGCAACAAGCAGGCAGCCATATCAATTCAAGGCACAAAGATCTATATGCATGGCGCTACACATACAAGACCAAGGTAAGTAAAGGCGTTGCAGCCACACAAACACCCGACCCCCTTTTTTTGCAGCTACATCACATAAGCAGTCACGGGCATCGCCACACACAAAAAAAAAAGACTGTACGGAGATCTGCCACATCTACGAAGAGCACGCTGACTGTGCCATATTGGGTGAGCGCACGTAGCTGGAGCGTCTATGCTTGTTGCAGGCTTTATCTTTGAGTTTAGCTGTTAGGATGTGAATCTGTCGTTCTTATCATCAAAGTCTTAAATAATGTGCATGTTTACTGACTTTAGCTCCATTAGTTCAATATCATGATTATTTTTTCTCATATAATATGCAAGTATACAATTGTTAAGTAACTACACATGATTCTAGTACAGTTATGATACATAGATATTACATCATTTAAAATCATAATAAACCACTGACGTTTAGATCTTTAAGACTTAAAATAATGTCTTCATAAAGTCTTGTGAGAAGGAATGGATTATAAACGAGTGCAAAATCACTTCAAATGAACACACATGTATAACTCATATGTTTGACAATTTCTGCTCAGAATCATAGATGCTCACCTGACGGGAAAAATAGGTTCTCATGTCATTAATGCATTTCACTGATGAATACAATATCTAAACACAAATGTTTAATTATCAATTCTTCTGGATTTAGTGTCGAGAAATCGATAATGAGTTCATTTAAATTAAGTGTGCTTAAAAAGCACCACCATGAAAGGTAGTGAATTATCTCTGGGATCCACATTACTAGACCACAACTCTTCCCAACACACACAACTGAACACCATAGGACAGTTTATGAAATGTTTTCAAAGCCGGGGAAACTATCTCTTTTTTTTTTTAACATCGGTCACAGAGTAAGG